TGTGTGGCACAATCACATCAGATTGGATTGGTGTGGCACGCTCACCTCAGATTGGATTGGTGAGGCACGGTCACCTCAGATTGGATTGGTGAGGCACGGTCACCTCAGATTGGATTGGTGAGGTACGGTCACCTCAGATTGGATTGGTGAGGTACAGTCACCTCAGATTGGATTGGTGAGGCACGGTCACCTCAGATTGGATTGGTGAGGCACGCTCAGATCAGATTGGATTGGTGAGGTACGGTCACCTCAGATTGGATTGGTGAGGCACGGTCACCTCAGATTGGATTGGTGAGTTATGCATTTAATTGGAATCAAAATCACGTTACCTGTTAATGTCGTAGCTACCTTGTCTTGTCAACAAGAGTTGATTGGAGCAGCTGAAACCAAAACTAACGTTGGTCAAATTGTAAACAGGGAAACGTTTCTATTTATAGCTTTGATTTCTAATATTTCTGTATTTACTTTTCGGCTCCACTCTCATCCCTTCACGCCATCTACACCAGCGATGTGTCACCATATCTCCTTGCCCAGCTATTCACACCGGCGATGCGTCACCATATCTCCTTGCCCAGCTATTCACACCGGCGATGTGTCACCATATCTCCTTGCCCAGCTATTCACACCGGCGATGTGTCACCATATCTCCTTACCCAGCTATTCACACCAGTGATGTGTCATCATACATCCTTTCCCAACCATCCACACCTCCTCACTCTCCCACACCTGATTCCCCCCACACACACACTCCATGGGCCCTATAAACGTACCATGCATCTACACCAAACGCCCCTCCCCCGGGGAAAACAATGGGAGGGGTGGGGGCTGAAAGAAAATCAAGGAGTTTTTTTTTTAATATCTGATAATTTCCGGAGCTCAAAGGTTTTCAGTTTGTTTGTCTTGGAATTTATTTGATTTTTTCGGTCAATTTATTGTTAATTTGCCAACCTTTTAAATTATATGTATTGAAAAATATTTAAATCTCACAAAATATGATTGATACATTTTTATTTGGCTTGTATTAATAATTTTTCTTTTATTAGAAAGTATACTTTATACAATTCAAATTTTTAATAGCTTAAGTTAAATTCGGCTTAAATTCAAAGACATTTAAATAAATGTGTTAATTTAAAGATTGCTAAAAATCTGGATAGTTGTTAAATATATTTCGATGGATCTCCACCCCTTAAACAGACGGTCACTCACCTTTCTTGATAGACCCGGTAGAAAGTTTATATACAACATTGTTCCCGAGTATGCCAAAACTGTAAAGTCCCTGATTGATTTTCTCAGAAATGCTTTAGGATATCAACAGGCGTGAATCCCCTAGTTTATCAGCAGTTCCGAAAAATTGAGTTCACCCTTCTATTGACCGAATGTCCCTCACTAGATGTTTCGGGGGACGCCAGGGCGGTGGGAGAGCCCTACGTGAGGAAAATGTTGTGTGGCTCAACTCAGCAGATGGAGCTGGTAGCCAATGTACTAGGCCGGGGTCGTAAGAGAGTAAGCTCAGACCTTCACCAGAATATGCGTGTTAATTAGTTTAACTTTCAAAGTATTTTAAGCGAAACTTGGGTGATATTTTTTTTAAGGGGGAATGGGGGGGGGGGTGCGCATTTGTTTTTTAAACCCTAAACACCAAAAATCGCGGGAAGAGGGCAGTGGGGCNTTGTTAAGGGTTCATTCCAATGCTTTAAACAATTATTTCTGAATAGGGTTCGTTCGTAAATTACGTCATGCTAGAGATGACATTTTTATCCCCCCCCCTTGTCACGAAGTGTCACAAATTCTTCATCACCCCCCCCCCTCCCAGTGTCACGTCACACCTAAATAAATTCAAAACATTCATAAAATTTTCATAACTGAACTAAGATTTTATTTTATTCTGTAACATTTTCCCATAATGGATTATGATGTAGTATTATTAGAAAACTTAGTTTCATAGTACCTATAATACCTGAGGCAATTTCGATCTAAAAATAAGCGTTTTTTAAATTATTTAAAAAAAACAAAAAAAATTATCAAAATTAAAAAATTTTAGATTGGAAAAAAAAAGTGATGTCACAAATGTTTTACCTCCCCTGTCACAAAGTGTCACAAATTATCGACCCCCCCCCCCCCCCCCCCCCCCACCCCCCCCCGAGTGTGTTGTAAATTGCGAAGGCTCCATTACACAGAGAGCTCTTCTGTAGTTGAGGCTATTTCGTCCTAAAAGGCGTATTTTTCATCATTTTGCCGCCATGGGTTTAAAACAAATTAACAGTTATTTGGTATTACATGGGACGGCTCGTCAATCACCGAGGCGTACTGTTGAAAAAAAATTATTTTGGCTACGTCATTTATTTATCAGACGTACTCTGTTTTGTATATATATATATATATATAATATATATATTTATTTATTTATTTATTTATGTTTTAATTTCTCGGTCTTAATAAACTGTACTTGCTTGACTGGCTTCCGATCAGGAAAAACCAGGGCAACGTCCCAAGCAGTGATTATTTCAGAAATCCCCCCCCGGGGGGGGGGGGTTTGTGGGCTGGGGGGGGGGGGGGGGGGGGTAATGCACCAGTGCCGTCCTGGTGAAAACAATTCGAATGATGACCTTATTTGGCTGTGCTCCTTCACTTTTTCTTCCTCATCTGTTTCCTTTGAATTTCATCTTGTCTTCTTTTTTTTCCCCCAAGAAATGTACAGATTGCCTTCTTGGTTGTTATCAGTTGCTGACACGAGAATCCAAGGAGGTAGTGTAGCCTCCGAGTTCGGCGTAAAATTCGCGACTTTCTTTCCAGGAAATGGATTGCTTGACTTTGATATCGATTGGTCGTTACTTCAGCGCCGTGACAGCAGATTTCCCAGCTCCATAAATAAGCTAACGACTGTGACTGGAAAATTAGGATTCAAGTTATTGTTGTGTCAGTAGGTCATAGGCTAAAGGTCAGCAGGAACGATGACAATTTTTTTTTAATTTAAAAAAGGTAATAATTCTCACTTCAAATGACTCTTTTCTGTCCTTGACCTCACCAAGGGCAATTTTTATTTTTAGCCTTTCTAAAAAATGTGAATTTCATGCTTAATTCATTTTCGAAGTAGTAGCCCAGAAAAATAGGAACATAACATAATAAATACAAAACCGATGCTTCATTGTAGTATTCTCCAGAACAGATTTAATAACGAAATTAACGTTGTTTGTTTACTTTTGTGACGTACGTCAGTGATCTTTATCTCCCAAAGAGCTAACAGCCTACATCACCGGTTCTCAGCATGTGGGTCGCGACCTTCTTCTTCTTCTTCTTCTTATATTTGAGGTGCCCACGATCAATCTGTTGATCATTCTGGCTCCTGGTTTAAATTCAGAGTTTGCCTTCTCTTAGACGGGTTGCCGTCCAAGGCTAACGAGTCCCATCCACCCGGGTTGCTTGGGATGGCTTGGGTGGGGATTGAACTCCAGACCACCAGCTATTTAGGGGTCGAACGACATTCAAACAGGGGTCGCCTAAGACCTTCAGTTAACACTTTTTTTATTAAGTAGCAACTAAAAAAATATGGTTGGGGTGAGGGGTCACCACAGCATGATTTTGGGGAGCTGTCTTAAAGGGTAGCGAAATTAAGAAGGTTAAGAACCACTGGCCTATACCAATTGTGCAGTGCAATACATGTAACCCTGATAAAACAAAATTGCTATAGTGGCCCAACGGTACAATAAAATAACATGCAGTTAGAGCGGAATAACTTTCTCCATTGACTGTGTTTACACCCTAGCGAGCTTCTTGAAAGCGTGTAGCTTTTTCCCTTGAACTCTTGTCCTTTAGATATTTAAGTATGTCAGCGTAAGCTATTTTTAACAATGGCTATTTTTAACTACAATCTTTTCCTCCGCTGCAATTAAAGTTGATGAAACTTATACTACTGAAAATACCCACTCCACAAATGCCCACGGACTGAAATTTCAGTAAATACCAAGAAAGTGATGCCAGGAAATTTGAAAAGCCACTTCCCCACAAAAATGTATGAACTGTCGGCACCAAAACGTTTGAAAAAGAAGTCTCTGGTAGCCTATAAATTGAGAGGCCACAGTCGGTGATTGTAGTAAGATCTACAGTCTTGTCAACTCTATTTGGTTTCAGTTTCGATAGCAGCCCAGCTACTAGACAGTGGGTTACATCGAACGGTGCGTGATGCAAGGAGGACGCTGAACATCAAGTTGTCCGACAAGCGTATGGTAAGATGCTAAGATTGAATGATATAACATTTTATGATTTATTTATTTTTTTAAATTCAGCTCTGGTTAAATTTAATTGCTTTGCTGCTGGTACGTTTGTTGTGCCTCATAGTCGCATCGCCATTTCCAAAGGGTTGAAATGCATAGTTGTTTGTTTTCTTTCCTGCCAATAACCGTAACTGGTATGAAAATCTAGGCCATCAAATGACGTCCCTTTATTTTTTTTTATTTTTTTTTTCACTTTTGTTTATGTGTGTGTGTTTGTTTTTGTTTTGTTTTTGTTTTCTAAATAAATTTAAGTCATCCTAAAAAATAATTTTCAAATACTTAAGGCTATAGCAAGCAACGTTGTTTTAGTTATTTATTTTTTCAGAATTAATTGTAAATTACTGATGTAAGATGTTTTGAGATATTAATTATTGGTATGATGTTCCGCTTCATGTTAGTCAATTGTCAACATGTTTGGCTAGATACATTTTATCGTTTTAAGATAAATAACTTTCAGAGAAATTAAACAACCACTTTAGAGAAATGATGCACTTATTTGGGTTGATTCCTTCTGGCGGTGTAAATAATTGTATTTTAATTACGAGCGAACTTGTGAGGTTTTCCTAAACAGGTCATTCAAAGTATAATTCGACAACTTTACATATGTGCATCATTTACTTTTTACCAAAAAATTTGCTAAAAATTTAATTAATAAGAGTGATAATAAACTCTATTACTTTATTATATTCTACCTACAGCTATTAGAATTATAGCTCTGGGCTCATTAACATCCAACACCGCAGCTCTCACAGCACGCAGCTGAACACTGCGCAGCTCTCAAAGTACGCACCTCTCACAGCACGCGCCTCTGCCAGTACGTAAGCTCATTCCAAACACCCATTGACCCCACAAAGTCATGTCGTCGTCTTCAGAAAGTATAGAAACTCACACAAAGTCAGACGGTTCACTGCGCATTGGCATTCCTAAGTCGTCTGCCATCCAAGATCAGGGAAAACATGCAGGTGACTTAGAAAATGCAGCGCCACAATGTATTGGAGGCAACAGCGTGGTCCCGTTGAATAAAACCTTCCTCCTGGCTGGGCCTCTTCACGCGCAGTCTTCTTCAAAGGGCATCACTGTGATGCACGAAGACGGCATCGCTGGAGAATCACATCCCTTCGGACAGAGTCAGTATCATGAAAGGGGGAGGCCCTCGGATTTTGGCTGCAGTCATGAACAGCCGATTGCAAACTATTTATCGTCGATATATGATAACGACTCGATCCCAAGTAAGGACGTCATGACAGAGACAGAATCGTCGGCGAATCAGACCGACTCACGGGCGAGGGAGGGGGCTAAACAAATGGTTCACGGTGGAGCGCCTTCTCTTGTAACTTCCCAGACTATTAAAGTTCACGGAAAGGCAAGTCAGTCGCAAGCCCGGGAAACGCGAGTCGGGATCGGCATTGCTTTAAAGAAAGCCCGTTTTCAATTTTCGTCTGGCAAGGACATCATCCCAGAAAATTCTTCTTTTTGTTCTGATGAAAACCGTGCAATACATTTGAAAGATGAGAAGGTCGATAATGTTGACAATCCAGATGATGTATACATTGACTTAAAAACTGGAAGTAAGGTGAAGGCCGCCTTATGCCCAACGTATGATGATGCGAATTTGAGAAAATACGAGTTTGTAACGAATGAGACTGGGAAAAGTAGTTACAGAAAACACGAAGGTTGTGGGAAGATGGAAGTGATGATCGGTGTGGTGTTAGCTCTGCTCGTCTCGATGACGTTCCTGATTGGGACAGTCGTTCAGCTGCAGATGAGGATCAGTGCCATGGAGAAAATAATGGCCAATATTGAATTGAACAAGGTTAGTGATGTGAGTATTCTAATGATTTGAATCCTTAATAAGAAAGAGGGTGGTGAAGTATTCTATGGTTTTTTCGTTTGTTTTAAATTTATTTTAATTATTTGTTTTGTTTATTATTCTTTTTGGTGGGATGCATAGAGAAAAAATTGTAATAATTTGTAGATCAATATATAGTGATCCCTCGACTATCGCGGTTATAAGGTTCAAGACCCCAGACCCCCACACACTAACGCGTAAATTAGCGACCTTCTTTTTAATTTATTTTTCGTATATATTTTAAGCCTTTATAAACCCACCCCACATTCTTAAAAACATTTCCCCTTATTTGTATGGACATTTCCGACACTCTTATAAAAACACTCTTAAACCTCCGTAATTTTTACAATATATGAAATACTACTTTTTTTTCGATTTAATATTCTTTGAATGTTTTAAATAATATTTTACCATTTTTTAATAATTTTTTTTCAATTATGTATTCATTTTTGTTGGTGTTGTTGTTGCTAGAAAATGGTTATTGTTCCGAAAAAATAAAAACAACCAATTATAGCCCGCCAAACATTGGCGACAGCAATGCGTGAACTTCCCATCTACTGAAATTAATTGACAAAACATGAACTCAAATAACGAACATTTTTTTTTTTAAACAATTTTTGCTACACCCCTTCCCCCCTGATACGTCACTGCACACTTTTTATTTCACGCCCATGTACTAAATTAATCTTCTGATGTCCCCACCACTTTTAAACCGAGTATTGATCACATCATATTTAAATTAAGACGATTTCATTTTACCAAAAGAAAAAATGACGCACCTAACGCAGTTGCGTTATTTTTTTTTTTTTTAAGTCATTTAGCGTAGTTATCGGGAATTACTTTTGGATGCGGCTAGTCGGACCCGGGTCCGAGAAGTGAGAGTTTGGGTTTATGAAAAAATATTTTAAAATTATTGTAGGGTTTCTAAGACAAAATTTGGTATCAAATGGAAGATAATTGAATGGACTATATGTTTGTAAACTTACTTCTTAAGTTTAACTTAAATAAACTACCACTCACTAATGACACAATCTTGGCCCACCTCGGGCGGCACTAACCCTAGTTACGCCCCTGCTAACTAAAAGCTTTTTTTTTTTTTTTTTAAACAAAAGTTCGCGTTTTGCGCTTGCTCAACCGACAAGCTTGACAGCAAGGGTTTTATCATAGGGTTTTATCACATACTCGCAGCGCTTGACAGCAAGGGTTTTATCACATACTCGCAGCGCTTGACAGCAAGGGTTTTATCACATACTCGCAGCGCTTGACAGCAAGGGTTTTATCACATACTCGCAGCGCTTGACAGCAAGGGTTTTATCACATACTCGCACGCGCTGAAGTTGATGCTCGTTGACTCCAAATGTTGTATAACTCGTCGCGTACTTGAAGTAAAGAACCGCTGTCCAGTGGGTCCCCCTGTCCCCTATCTGAGACCACCATCTTGTGATCACAATCCATTCTCTTAAAATTGCTGTGCCAAAGAAGGTGTCGCTCTCTCTCTCTCTCTCTCTCTCTGAGAGTACAGCAGATTCTTCACATGTTAGGATCCATCAGCCTCAATTCTGGCCACGTTGTCCTCTTGCCGACGACTACGAATGTGCCACGGATATCTCAAGAAAACGCTGTTGGGCTTCGAGTGGTGACTTGAGTACGTGCCCACATTCAAATAGAATATTCTTAGCACGCATGCCTTGGAGAGCAGTTTGGTCTTTCCTTTGAGCTCGGCTTTGTTCCATGCACTCTTGTTCCACTATGAACATAGATACTGCTGCTCTATCGATCCTTTCGTTAAAATCTTTATCAATAAAGGGGATATGCCCCTATAATGACGTTGGTTGGAATGAAGTATCCCTTGTGATAAGACAATGTTCGATTTTCAAAATAATGATCCGTTCAAACTCTTTACAGGCGAGAGAAAAACGACTAAAAATGGTTTAGTCTATTTTTTTTAAAAAATTAATATATATATATATATATATACGGTATATATATTTATCTTTTCCCCCGCTAGCATGTGCTCTGAAAAAGAAAATAATAATAAATGGGGGTGGGTGCTGCAATCAGGTTAGGCAGAACGAAATATGTGGGTGGGGGGGGGAGGNAGCATGAAACCACCTGAACGATGCCACTGTGAACTCGACATCGGTCGAAAGTTTCAAGGCTGCCCTGGCATCAGCTAGGAGCTGTTAGAATAGCAACATCATATCCCCAACCGTTGCAAAGATGCCAGTACATGGATGAAGCTACGAAACATTACCAGAACCAGAACCAGAAAAAAAGACGTAACAAACAAACAAACGTGTTGGCATGAAGCCTTCTTCGGAGAACAAACAATGAGTGACACAAATATATTAACGAACATAAAAAAACAGACAAAATACACCCAGCTGAAATGTAGTTTCCGAGAGAGGACAAGCAGAGGAATGAAACGCTACCACGTTCTTTGTTCTGCTGTATCCTGTTTTCAGCTGTTCCCCATACCTTGCTTCAAATATTTCCTGAAAAAGAAACGTTTTGAACCCTGGTTGAAGAATATAATCTAATATACATGACTGTATTTTAAATAACGCGACTCTCAGTTTGCAATTTTAAAAATAAATAAATAAATAAATAAATAAGATTCCCTATTGTCATTCACTGTCGAGCCATTTAATCAAAATTAGGGGAATCGTATTTTTTGTATTTTCAGATTGCAGAAAATTCAGGTCTGCAGAATTTCCTCAGCGATAATGGAGAACTATTTTTAAAGACTTTATTTTACTTCAACATTAATGATGACTGGGATGACGGTCAGAAGCAGAAGTCAAATAATGAACAGAAGGGTCACATTTTGTCTCGTCATACCCGAGACGTGGTCCCCCAAAAAGACGGGATGACTCCAGAAAATCAAACACAGAAGACGTCAAGTAGAAAAAAAGGCACCAAAAATAAGGAACAGAATAACGGTAAACATTCTCAACTACACAAATCAAATAATTTTTACAATGAATGATTTTTAAATTTAATTTTTTATTACATTTTTGTGACTCAAATTGCATCAAATATGCAATACTAACATTACAAATTAATTGATTAAATTAAATTATTTGCTACTTTAAGCTTATATCTTGCTTGGGGAAATATGAAATTGGGATTTAAAGAGAATGGCTCTCAAGGTTTAAAATAGATGGTTCGTTATTTATTAAGCCAGTTAATTAATTAAAAGATACTGTAATAATATTTATTTCTCTTTTTTTTCTACAGCTGCAACTGTAAGTAAAATTAATTATTATGGTGTGGTCTGGTAGTGTTAAATAGTTTGCGTAATGTCCTTATCATTGCAATAAGTAAATTAAACCAACATACAGACGTATAATATCTACCTTACCGTCCAAATGACTGTAAAAAATTATTATTCCATTTGATGTAAAATTTCAAACTATGAATTTACAACATTTTCAATTTCTTCTGACAGCTGGAGTCATCACAGTTTGAATTTGACTTCTTTGATGAGTGGTATGATTACAGGACCAACTTCACCAAACAAGGTCAGCCATTCTCATCTCTTTAAATCAGGTCCTCAAATAATATATGAGTGTTTTGGATTCATTTTTTGTGTGTGTAAAAGTCACTGTCAATTAACATATTTGTAAGATGCAATTATTATAACATGATAAATTTATTTTCTAGAATGTTTTCAAGATAAAAGGTGGCCAACACAGCCATTTGCCTGTAGAGGAAGTACCATTAGGTATCCCCAGAGAGGTATGAAAAATTATTATTTTCAATAATTTTAATGAAATAACACAAATATGATTTAGGCTTAGCCTTAATGCTCCATCTTCTTGAGACTTTAATTTAATAAATAGACTATGTGTAAGTCTTGTTTCATTTAAAGTCACCATCTCCAGTTTAAAAGTCCTTTCAGAAATTAATTTCACTCTTAATTTACCTTGAGTTTTATAACTTATTTTTGGTTTCATTCAATTTTACAGATTCTCCATTAGCTTTTTACGCTCCTCAAGACCGCAAACATACTGGGCCACCACACAAGACCAGAAAGAGAAAAGGCAATACACCATTATTAGAGATTTCCAACCGTTCAGAAGGATATTTTTCTGTGAGAGAGTCTGGTGTCTATCTCATTCATTTAAATGTGAGTCACCTGATGTAAACCTAATAGTATGACTCCATATAATAATAGTTATTTCTATTCATTTCTAAGCTAAACGTTTTTAAATGTCAAAATTCAATTATTAACTACTTTACTGTTAAAATATATTCAGTTCTGTGCTAAATTTATGATTTTCCTGAATTTTGATTGAAATATTTGAATCTGCCTTGGAAAAAAATGTTATGAACTACTTAAACTTTTAAACAAAATTTCTTCTCTACACACAATTTCTTTTAGCAGACTTTCTTTCAAAGGCTTATCATTATTACTAATTTTTTTTTGTAATTAATATACATCAACACATTTTTTGAATGCAGATCATGATTGTTGATGAAACACAAAATCACTCCCTTGGCATCTTCCTAAACAATTTGACTGTGCTGGCTTGCCCACGGGGTGGTTTCAGGTGTCCTCATACTAATGCAGAGGGCTCCTACAAATACAGAATATGCAACATTGATGGTATGTACATCTTAAAAGAAAAACCATTGAAAATGACTTGCCTTTCTAGACCATTCTTTTGCAGGTCTCTCAAACAGTTGAGAAATTCTATTAATGTTTATCTCAATAAAGCTGTTTTTTTTTTTTTATTCAGTATGATGTTACAGACATCTGTTATAGAACTTCTGATTGTTAATAATATTTTGTCATATTTGTTGTAATAGAGGTGGTTTTTTTTACATAAAAAATATAATTAGATACTAATTATTCATAAAAATAGTTATTTAAGTATTGTTATATCCCCATTGATCTACGAACTGAATTGTCACTAAACTAAAAGTAGGCTTGCATAGGGCAATGACATTAACAACTCTTATATGTGCCAGCGAGACGTGAACAATGAACGGTGCACAACAAACATTCTACAACTAAATCATCTCCACAAGTGCTGTTTACACAATCTTCTTGGCATAAGGTAGTAGGACAAAGCCCTTGATACTGAAGTCGTACAAAAGGCTGACTTTATAAGCATCCACATGTTCATTCAAAAAGGACAAGTCAGATGGACAGGACATGTTGCGAAAAAGGCCAGACAGCTGAAGAATTCCTAAACCACTAATCTTCTGTCACCTTTCCAGTGGAATGCAATCAGCTGGTGGGCAGAAAAAAAATGCTTTAACGATTGTCTAAAAGCTTCACTCAAATCCATGGACATCGGCTTGAGTTCATGGGGAACACTTGCTATGGAGTGCACAATCTGTCAGGGTAGACTTACACTTACTGTTAGAGCACATTCCTCAGAGAGTAAACGTATAGCTCATGCCAAAGAAAGTGCACAGCAAGTAAAAGCAGAATCACACCCAATCCCTCTAGAATCCCAAAACATGTGTCGTAGGTGAGGGAATGCTTTCCAGACACAAATAGAACTGCCAAGTCACCTGCATACACACTGTTGAATATGTTGTTCTTCTTCACAAGCTAAGGACAAACAACACTAATGGAACCTAGATAGGAAGTTTAAGTTTGTTTATTATGAGAAAGTACATAAGTTTATTTTCTTTATTTCTATTCAGGCATATTGGAGATGAACGTCAAGGACCAGCTGCAGATTAGGACCATGGAACCAAATACAACCGTAAGATTTGATAACAAGCGGAAGTCTCAATTTCGAGCAGTGCTGCTACATAAAAGTACAAAGGCAAATTCATAACACACATATTGAAGGTAACTTATATCTCAATTTTATCATAATATATGAGTAGACATACAAGTTTTAGAGAAGTTAATCCTGAAGCTATGTACGGTCATGGAAAGAAGACCAATGAAAAGTAAAAAGAATGAATCAGAAATTGATTTGGTCTAGACTACAGGGCTTCATTTTAAAACTCCACACACCTATATGATGGGATACAAAGATTTAGGAAATTCATGGGTTTTTCTCCATTAAATTTTGTATTTGCCATTGAATAAAATTTATGTTATTTGTATGATACCCATAAAAAAAACTATTTGAAGCTGCATGTTTATTAATATTTTATTTCACATAGCTGTATTTTACACTTCTTCGCTCAGATCTGTAAATTTCAATGAACACAGTCAACCTATATATTGTTTTTTTCAGTCAACCTATATATTGTTTTTTTCAAGCCATTGCCACAAATGCTATTTTATTTATTCCTGTAATTTAAAAAATTTTTGTAGAAATAAAATTGTTTCATCAAGGTATCAGCCAGTCTAGGACTTTTAGATCCATTGATTGTTCTGGCTGTTTGAAATCATTAACCACCATGCAGAAGGTAATTTTTATTATTAAATGGATGCATCCAGCTAAAGGATATGGATATTGTTTACATATTTAAAAAGTTACCAAAGTTTTTCAGAAATGTTAAATATGGACTGATAGGATGTTATTTTTTGTTTAAATGTTCAATGATCTGCACCTGAAAGAATAAATCATGTTCACTTTGTCAAATGAACTCAACATTTTGTGGTTAAGTGTTACTTGATGTGATGTGTGTTCTAAGTTATTTCTTTCTTGATATTTAAATTATTATATAAAGTATGTGATTCCTTTTTTTCATGTCTTAAAGATATTCAAAGATGTTCTTACCTCCAAGAATATATAAGAAGATTTAAGAGATGATTTTTTTAAAAACAAAAAAAGCTTTACATTACCTATCTCAACTTAAAGAGGCAGCATTTTTCTGTAAGCCCAGTCTCTACACCTGTGCCATGTTCAATAAATTTTACAGTTATCTTAATCATGCTTACTTAACAAATAACAATATAAAGTGTTTTAGAAAAGATCATACCGGTGTATATTTTTGTTTTTTTTATTAAAGTTTACGCTGTTGCCTTTTCTGATGTGTTTATTTCTTATATTATTTTCTTTCTATATTTCATAAGCTTCAAATGGAGTTTGACCAAACCACTAAGACTTAAATCATGTTTTATTTTTTTTCCAGAGCATATTTTGTACATGAGTGTTTGAAAGTTTATTAAATAAATGTTTGTTAAATTATGAATATAATTCTCATCTTTAACTTTTTAAGTTGAAACTTTGCTTCCTTGCAAGTAAAAAAAAAAATTTTAATTAATAAAGAGTAAATATTTCTTTTGGAATTCACCTTTCAAAAAGTTTTCAAATCAAGTTTTCAGTTTCGTTTGCACTAATTCAGACTTTTAAAAAATGCTGTTCACAGTGGTGTAGTAAAGGGGAGTGGATGGGGCAAGGGAGGCACTAACCCTGGCAATGTCACTGCATTGACAGTCTCATAATATACAAAATGTGCAATAACAGATGCATTTGAGGAACTATACAAAATTTGTAAATGAAATTAATAATGAACATTTGAAATTGTTCAAACTCTTTTCAGAAAAATTGCAAAATTTAATTTACTTGCATTGGTCTCACAGTTGATAATTATGGCTTAATGCTGTTATGTGTTTCATTACTCTTATAATGCTAGAGTTTGGTCAGGCCTGAAAGAAATTTATTTGCAGCTATCGGAGACTTTATTTGTACAAGTTCTGAGAAATGATGCTTTGTCCACTGCAATGTTTTAGCTGTAAAAATAATGTTCAATATTTATTTGGCATTTCTGTTACTTCAATTTAAACTGTTTATAGAAATAAACCAGTACAGTAATTTATATAGCATAATTTCATCTTAATATCTCATCATCATCCTGATCCAGTAGCCATTTTGCCTTATGCCTGAAGTAGTGGAATTATCTGATAGATAACACGTTTGGTTGCAATAAAATATATTGTACCGAGACTTTTTTTATATATTGTATTTTTTTAAAAAACATTTAAATTTCAACAACTTCTTATTTAACTTTTCCAAAGAGGATTAAGAAAAAAAAATCTAATTAATTTTATTTTAAGTTTTGCACTTTTATTTCAATTTTCAAAGGTTTTATTGAAAATAAAAACACTTCTCCTTTCTTAATTTAATCTATGTTCATGCTCACGCAGTCAGAGAGAAAGAATATTTCAAGAATTTACAATGCAATAAAGTAAGAAATTATTGGTTTTATTTTATTTTTATTACTTCAGAAACAAAAACACTATTACCATGGCATAAAAAAATAAAATACTAATAAGTATTCATTTTTCACACCGCACTGAGTAGTTTAATTGATTTAAATGCAAGACTGAATGACATCAGAGTTTAAAATTAAAATGTTAACTGATTTTTTTTATATGATGTTAAATATTTAAAATAATGTATTAAAAAATTTTTGATTTGCCAATAAACCATATATAAGACCACACCACAGATGTTTGAAAGAAATTTTTAAAAAAACATATTTTATATTTAAAGTAAATTTCTCGGGCAGAATTAAAAATTATAACAAACCTTACAAAATGAGATGAAATTAAAAAATGTAAAGGCTTCACATATCGTCGTCTGTGAAATGATTATTTCAAGTAATTCTTGGCAAATTTCATTTTTTAAAAGCTAAGCAAAGATCAACAAAAATATTTTACAAATACCATTTTCAAACATTAGCATTAGGTGGTGACATTAATTACATTACAATATAAGGCCACCCAATCAAATAAAATACATGGCAGAAGTACTTTTACAAATCATTCATATTTAAATATTTTACTAATTAAAGCAAATTTTATATAATATATATATTTATAACTGCATCAACAAATTATGTAGCTTTATTTGCATTATAAACTCATCCAGAATTGAATTGAATTTTGGCAGAAGTGGTGGACCCAGATTACTAAACAATAGACCTTAAAATATAATTTCCATAACAACTAACTCTGTTAGTTTTGTTATGCTTAAAACATTGTTAAAACCGTATGTCATCCTCTGATTTCCCCTGAATATTGGTGCCGAGGCATGCAAAAATAAATTTCATGGCCTGCACCCAAGTTCTCATGTATGTGACAATAAGGAAATAATATAATAAAATAGGTCTAGCTTTCTAGCAACGCTAGTCCATTGTACAGAAGGTGGGGCACAAAGAATGTATGAGCCGCTGATCAAGTTAAATATTTAAAAAACTTATTGACAGAGCAGCACTCTCTGTATCAGCGTTTTTTGGGGGTTTTTTTTATCTGGGCTTGAGGTTAAACACCCCCATACCACTTGTTTAATTCCATATTGATCAATATAGGAATAGAGTTAAGCAAAATTATATTTTTGGGGGGGGTGAAATGCTAATGGGGAAAGATATCAATACAAAGCAATTAAACTTCTAAAGAATGCATCAAATAAAATGAAAAATTTGACATTGGTAGGTATTTACATTAATCATTCATGTCATGCATGGTCCTTTAGATACATTTTCCCCTTTTGATCATAGAAACAAATAATAATACCATGAAATAAATTTTGATTATCTGATTCCTGTCCCTTTACTATCTATTTTTATCTTCTTACAGCTTTGACCATTTTTGACACACATCTTCAAAACATCAACTATCAGGGTAAACTTAATAAAAATTTAACAGGGATTGTTTTATGTAGCAAAACAGAATGTTAAAAAGTTAAAATCAAATTTACAAAATTTAAAAAAAAACAGTTAGGCATAGGGAAAACAATATATATTTCAAAAGCGGGGGAAAAAATTTATATTCATTGCAGTAGATTTATATGAGAGTCTTGAAGGTTAATTCTCATCTGTATTAAACTTAGTCTGCTCTTTGTGCCAGATAATTTAAAATATTTCTACATTTACAAGTGAAATGTAGCATTCTTTAAAGCAGGCACAAGGTAAAGGTAGATAACATTGCTATATTAAACAAAAAACTTTAAAAATGTATTTTAATAGCTCTATTTTTTTTTAAATGACATGATGCATTATCAATAAAAGACAATAATTGATGGACTGCACTCAATTTGTGTAAATGAAATACAAGAACCAGCTATGTTAAACTGGAATTCATAGACATAAATTTTGACGTTTTGGCTCAGAGCCTTTATCAGATAACAAGACAAAATGAAGTATAACAAGTATCAGATCACAATAAAAAAACTTTAGAGATTTCCTTTTTGTTGCCGGAAGTAGGATTACAGGATGTGAAAGAATATAAATATGGGTACTGTGAAAAATAAGGAGGAGAATCTTAGCCGACCAAAATATTTAAGGATACATAAAATCTAAGGAATAGGAAAAAAAGAAGAAATACAGGGAAATTGAGAAACATTAGTAAGAGAGTATTTGATTACCATGTGGAATTGGTACCAAAAAGTTGAATAAATTTGTTTTCCATTTTCCCCCTCTCTGGTGTGTTTGTTCACAAAATTAGTTGACAGAGAAATATTTATGTTGCCCTGTGATCTGTACTTGTTATACTTCTTTTTGTCTTGTTTTCTGATGAAGCCTCTAAGCCTGAAACGGCAAAATCTTTTGTCTATGTATTCAAGTTTAGCATACCTTGTTCTTATACTTCATGTATTATCAAATTGTTACATTCAGTAAAGATAATCTTCTGATCAGGCCAAGGGACTATTAGATAAAAAGTAGCATTTATTATCTGGTTTCTATACTAGGAAAAAAATGAAAAATGCAACATTAATACAAAATCTGGCAAGCTTAAACACATCACATACAATTATGTGACTTCCCTTTTTTTTTTTTTTTTTTTTTTTTTTACTGCAAACAACAAAGAAAGTTTGACAGTAACAATAACATCATATAACATCAAATTTCTAGATATCATTTACTAACATTTACAATTCACCAGGTTAATGAGTCATATATCTAAATTCTCTTAATTAATACCAGCATTTACATAATTTAAACATAGGTCTAATGCTTCGTATTTTAAATGTAAGGATTAATTCAAATGATATTATTTCAAAATTCAATTTTCTTTGGCTTTGTTAATCTTAAAATTCTGACTTTATAAATAATCCTTGGACACAGAAAATTTTTTAAAACAATTACAGAATGCTGACTTCGGACCCCTAACACGGGTTAAAAAAGAGAGTATTATTTCTCTTACAAACTCGCTAATCTTGGATGGCACTCATATAAGAGAAGACAAACTCTGAAATCAAACCTGGAGATGGAGTCCCATAGGCCATATGGCATTTACACAATAAAGATTTCGACAAACCTGTGAAGTGAAGTCATAAAGAGCACAGTGAAACACAAGAAACCATGCTGGTCATCCACTGCATTCTGGCCTATCTCCCAGTCATCTTGGCAAAGTCTTGCCTTTTGATCAAATAAGCAAGGACGAAAGAGTGAACATATCAAGGAACTCTCCCCATTTGAAACAAAATACAGCTCAAGCCAATGCTACTACTCTAGCCTTAGTCATCTTCTCATCGCGAAGAACAAACAATAAATAATTCCTTACTGATAAAAACAGATTAAAACTTATTTCACAAAATCTTCTTCTTTTTTTTTAAATTTTACTTACTCTATGTTAAAAATATGTTGTCTATGAATCTGTTTTTACAATAAAAAGAACAACCTGGTCAGCTGTGTGATTTAGCTGACCGCCATCTCCTCCAGCACCATTGGCATCTTCCACAGCTTAAGGGAGAAATCCCAAGGCTTGGCTTCTTTCATATTGGAATCCTCGTCAGAATTGTCGCTGTCAGACTCGTCAAAGTTTCGGAAGTGTCTCTGACCCGACGCGGTGGCAATCATGTCATAGTGGCAATTGAAGCTTTTAAAAAAAAAGGGGGGGCAAAACTTGGTTTCAAGAGAGAGCATGTTTTAATAAATAACCATGTATATTTCCAGTAATGTTATTAAGTCACATCTAATATTTTCTAATTTTCTAATACTTGGCATAATTTAATATAAGAGTAAACATTGACAAATAATTTGACTACAGGCAAGGCTGAATGTAGACTGCATGAATAGTAGGACTACATGTCACCATTTTAAAATATCCAAGAAAATCAACATATGAGGAGGACTACAATTTTTTTTTTTTAACAAGAAATTCCTGATTAAAAAGATTACTTTGGGAATATGCTAGAAATGAACGTTTAGGGGGCATTAACTGCAAAAGTTTTTAGAAGGCTCTATACTATTTTGACAAGTAATTAAACAACCCATAAAAACAAAGTTTTTCATATATACCCTGTATATTTATTATTTATATTTTATTTTAAGTTAATATTCTAATGTCCCATCCGCTTTTACATCACAGATTTATGTCAACTACTATTTCAGAAAAACACACAAAAATATAACGCACCAAACGCACTTGCGATATTTTTTTTAAGAATCTCATTTAGCTCAGTTATTGACAATTTTATTTTCATGAAATCGGTGGCGTCAATACATATTTCCTTCAACTTCCCGTTGAAAAACAGACAAAATTATTTTTGGAGGTTGGGGAGGTGGGGCTGAAAGAATGTGTAGTCATCGGCAATGAGACTTTATTCCAAGTTTCAGCTCACTTGGTTGACAGGAAGTGGGTCAATTAGCCATCCCAATATTTTGCCCTTAACAAACAAAAGTGAAGTTATTATAAAGGATTTAAAGAAAGATAGAATTTCTTGAGAGCAAGGATAATTGGCTACATTAATTGAGCAGAACATTGAAAAACATACAAGCTTCAATAACAGCCTCTCACCTGACACCATTAACACAGTCATCGTGGGCCACGAACTGGGAGCAGGGCTTCAGGAACACATCCCCGTTAATCTCCTCAAATGAGCTCAGAGTATCCCAGAATGCCACAGTGCCATCATTGTTTCCAGAAACCAGATATCGGCCAGATCTTTAAAAGAGAATTATAAAGAGAATGGAAATGGAGGAGCCAAGATTTATCAATTGTGTAACACATATCGATGAGGGTGACAATTTCTAGTAAATATTAGTTGACTCTCATTTTCCTCAAGAAAAGAAAAAGAAATCCATGTTATTTACTTACTGCGAGAGATCAAAATAGATTCGCTGGTTGGTTTTCACATCCCTTAGGGCAGAGAATAAAATTTTCCCCATGTTTCTGACATCCCAACACAGAATTTCAGCATCCTATATGACAAATAAAAGATTTTTCTGATTTAATCTTTAGTTATTATGAAAATTTTAACACATTTTTAAATTTGATTAGCAAAACCAGCTTCAAGTAAAAAGTAATTAAGTTTTGATTACTGACTTCAATGTAAAAAATAAATGGGGTTTAGTTTTTTATATTATTTTAAATCAAATGATGGGAAGTTAATTATATATTAATCACATCGATACTCATCAATCCCTAAGAGTAGATCGCCTATAGGGTCTCCACTTGAAAAGATATCAACTAGCAAATCTTAATTTCCTTGTAACTTAAATTAATGCTTTCAGTACAACTTTAGGAATTTTAAACTTTTACATAAAATACTAATAGACATCATGGCAAAATAATTGTTTTTATAACTATTTACTACAGTTGGTCAATCTACCTTACGTCCTCCACTGTAAATCTTTGAGCCATCAGGAGAAAACTTAACGTGAGTGATGCCACCATGCTGACCTTGAATCAAACAGACTAGCCTGTCACAAGCAGAGTCATAGATTCCAACTGAAATAATGGCCGACAACATTTATTAGGGCAACAGAAAAAAAACACTTATTGTACAAAAATTACTTATTAAACCGAGAATGCTGATTGAAGTTTTGACAGTGCAGGTTGCATTAGAATATTTCCAATTCCTAAAGGGCCCACTCACATTAAACAAACCTTTATTATTTATTTTTTTTTATGTATTAAGATAGCAGAAATGCATCTTATGTATAGCAAACGTATTTTAAAACACCTAATTAACATTTAAAAACGGAAAAAGTTTTCAAACGAATAAAAGACTCTATTAACAAAAAATGTCTGAATATTATTGATTGAACAAATGTTACAAAAACGGTATTGTTTATGATAAATTGTTGTTGTTGTCATTAATGCAGAAGACCTTCCGAAATTTGTGATTGCTCAAGACAAAACTTTTGCTGGACATTTTGGTAAAACCAGGAGATATGGAACACGTGGGTAGGCCATTCAAGATAGTTGAACAAAATTGTGCTTTTTCCATCTACTATATGAAGTATTTTTTATTGTTTCATTTTAAAGAGCTCATCATTTCCATAAACCCTAGCTCAACCAAATTTTCTCTGACTTAATTCCCCAACTTACTGTGTCTGCTGTATGACCCCGCCACATACAAGCCGTCTCTATTTGGACTGTGGGTGAAACAGGATATTATCCCAGTTTGACCATCTTTCTTCTGTGTATCTGTCAAGTCAAAATTAAATGTGTTAAAACTCTTTTAGAACCCAACAATAAAATGTATTCAACAATCTTGCTAATGTTTGGGGAGGGGGAGAAACAATAAATGATGTCATGAAAGGGAAAAAAAATCAAATTTTTAATACTATTTGATATACTTATGAGAAAGACTACTTCATTAATTATAATAACGGTCCATAATTCTCTAACATAAAAAGATTGAATTATTTAAATGGTTGATTAAAAAAATCCATGTTACAATTTTATCCACTTGAGGTGAGGATATCAAGGTAATTAGAAAACTTACTGAATGTTTTTACCAGCTTGCAGGATCGGACAGGATATTCTGTGTCAAATATTCTGATAGCTTTGTTGTAGCCTGCATAAAGTTTGCTACCATCCAAAGAAAAGGACACACTGTAAGCAGCAGTCACTTCATCGTACTGATCATATGCTCTATAGTTCGCTACTATACTTCCTGTTGTGGTGTCCCACATGTGAATGGGAATACCAGTACAGGTGGAAGCAACTCTGAAATAAAGAAGTTGTGTGAATTGCAAATAATATGAAAAATGTCTTGCTTTTCCACACAAAAAAAAAAAGAAAAAAAATGTGTGCGACAGTTGTGAAATTATCTTAAGTATTATTTTAAGTACTTTATAGTAATGCAAGATAATTTCAGCAGCTGCAAATTTTGTCATTTTATAACTTGAGGGGTTAAGTTGTTTTTTTAACACAAGGTTTATTCCTCATCAGGAATAGCTGCTTTACTGGGATAACTAGTCAATATAAAACCCAAAGCTAACAAGCCAAGAAGAAATTTAAACCCCTTATTTCCTGGTGTAAGAAACAGGCTATGATAATATTGCATTATTGGGTTATATTTTTATATTTCTAGGAGAAATAACATTTTTTGATAATTTATTTTAAACCTCAATAAAATTATTTTAAAAAAACATATCCAAAATAGTCATAAATCTAAGTATTAAGAAAATAATTTTTATTCTAAATTAAAAAGTTTAATAGTTTTGATTTTTTGTCATTTTTAAATCAGACATGTGCAGAAATCCTAAAATGTATTCATGTCATTTTAACAGTTTTTACCTGCAAAATTCAGGCTGCCATAAAGACATTCTTGGATGCCAAACAAAATCATAAATTTGACCACTCTCTTTCATGTTGACTTTGCTAACCTGTTTGAGTATACAGGACAAATTATTTTAATTAGCAATTTTTAGGTTGTTTATTTCGCATAAATCATTACAAATTAAAAGAAGAAAAAAGGATTGGATGCATTGCCATTTAACAGTTGTTATTTATGACAATTACAAAAATTAGAAATAGAAACATTCTGATAAGTTCGCTAGTGTTAACTTGTAAATAAATTACTCTTTAATTTCCATATAATGGGTAGAACATTGTTATCAAATTTGACATTTTTTTCATTGCGTTTATTTTTCTCAATTTTTTGAGTGATTTAATTGCATGAAATGTTGAAGATGGCATAACATAGTCCAATACCTTAGTTTAACTAAAATGGTACTTCTAAGAAAATCTGAGTCTCACCATCTGCAAGTTGTCTCTTTGGTCCTGGTCAAATGTCTCAAACGGTTGAAACACACGAAGGCAGTTATCATTACTGTTAGTTAGCACACAGTTTCCATCTGGGGACCTAAATTATTTAATATAGTGGTTATACGTTTTGATTTTTAAAAAAATCTGTCTTCTTAAAGTTAAACTTGAACAATTGCTAATTTTTCTCTATTTGTAAACAAATTATAGAATCTTAGATAATATTATAATAGTTTATTATTTTGGCTATATATATGTTGTTGGTGGTTTTGTGCTTTTTTTTTAAAAAAAAGGAAAAACCCTTACCACTTACATCCTCGCAGAAAATTGTCTACATAGTTTTCTTGGAATTCTCTGCAAGCACTAGCAAAAAAACTTGGAACAGATTTAGTCGTCAAGTTGTATCTGTTGATGAAAAGGGAATAAAATTATACAGATCAAAAACGAAAAAAAAAATTAAATTAAACTAATAAAACAATTTGAAATTGAAAACCAGCAACTTTAACACTATTTCAAGATTTCAAAAGTATTTACAATTATTGAAAATTGTATAGTCTGTATTGATTTAAGCATACGGTGAGAGTCAGTTGTTTCTCTGATTTTACATTCCCATTTATAAGACCTAAATTCAAGTTAATATAACACCAAGCACATTAAACAGTTTTTCATATTATATACTGAAGTGGAATCATTCAATTGGATTTTTTAAAAGGTATACATCAAATTCATATTTATATTATACTTAAAATGTTTCAAACCTTAAGTCACCAGCAACAGTTACATCATTTTCTGTATTTAGCATGTTCATTTCTTCTGTGAAGTTTTGAGATGTTGTCAACTCAGAAGTCAGGATCTCTTGTCGTTCTGTCTGTAAAATTGCAGCATAACTTGAGTTAATTTCTCGTTGCTGGAAAGTAGAAGACATCTTAACAAATTATCAGATGGCTATTGGCATTCAAAAATGAAGGATCAGCTAAATTTTTAGCTCGATTTCTGAAAACAAGTTGTGATAATGAATGTATGAATGTATAATACAACAAAAAATAAATGCAGATAGTACATGGTTAGATCATTTTTAATAGAAAATTTAAATATAAATTTTGTATTATGAAGATAAATTTACATGGCAATTTTAATTGTTATCTAAAATGTAAAAATATAAGTAAATTTTTATTTAATTTAGTGTATAATTTATTATTATAATTAAATATATAGGCCCATACCTCTTGATATAACTGCCTGCTAAAGCCAGAGTCTTTCGATAAGAATGACTCATTTTTATCCAAGTTTCCACTCAAAGTGTTCAGCATGCTAATTGACAAATGGCTGTCAGTTTTTGTTGAGACATCTGAGATTTTGTTTTCAGTTATATGTTGTTTGGTAATGTCATTTAGAGTATCTATTGAACTTATGAAAACTTCCTCGTGTTTATTTGATGAGTTGGAGGATAACACTGCTTTTGGAATGTCATTATAATCCATTACTTCCTCAATCCCAACACTTTTTAAAACCTGTCTGTTACTAGAATCCACTTTGTTATTTACATCTTGGGTTGTATTTCCATGATCATCATCAATATGTGGAACTTCTTCAACAGATGGACGGAGACATTCCTTCACAAGGGCATTTTCATGTGACAACACTGCCGTATTTAGAGTATCCAGTCTAAGACTATCGTCTACACTTAAATCTTTCTCAAAACTGTTTGATGAATTCAAATAATTACTGAACTGCTCATGCCCAGTGATTTTGATATTGTCAGTAACTGATGAATTATTACTAGTGTTGAGATTGTCAACTGCCCTGCTATCCATAATTAAATTTTGAGAATCATTATTAATGGCGACTATTGAAGTTTCAGCAGGGTAGATTTGTTGAGTAAGTTTATTTGAAATTAGAGACAAGTTTCTACCACTGTTGTCATCAGGTATCTCAGGTATTGTAAACCCCTCATTTTTATCACCTTCAGCCTCATTTCCATTACTTTTACCACTAAGGCTTAAGTCTCCATCAATGACTTTTTCTTTAGAACTCATGCTTGCTTTCAAAATTAGATCATCAGTGGTATCATGGTTAAAATATTTTTCACCCAGCGCAATTTGCGTTACATTGCATCTAAATCTTAGATCGTGTGTCGTGTCCACAGCTGTTTTAGATCCAGAGTCAAGAATTATGGAGGATTGTTGAGGTCCGGTGGTCTGGGCAGTGTGGTTTTTAGGTGGTGGTGTATTTTGTTGCTGCCTTATGACCTGTCTTGGAATCATGCCTACAGGGTGTGCATGCAAATGATAATCCCCATAACAGATATGCGATAACCACAAAAAGTCAAATTAAAAACTTATATTATCCTCTCTTTATAGTCTCTGTATTTGTGGATGAGAAAGAAAGTTGCCATCTTTTCTTCCCAAGTGCTTTCCCTTGTCTACTTCCGGCACATGCAAGCGATTCTAATAATTATAAAAATATCGCAAAACTAATCAAACATTTTATTTAATTTGTTTTTATTTGATGAAAAATAATACCGTAACAATAATAAACTTTTCCTTGAAACCTGTGCAGAATAGAAAATATGATCGGGACGCTGTGACAAGGTTGATAAACTGGGAAGATTCCGGTAAAAAAAAAGCCTACTATGACTATAACGGTATTTTACCCTAAATGAAGACGTTGAGGATAATGATGATAATGTAAAAAATGATTAAAATGTTTTCCACTGTTTGGTTGTACGGGCGACGAAGCAAAAATTGTGCAGGGTGGCCACCGTAATGATGATTTGTTAATAATCTAATAATAAATGCATATGCGTAAAAGGGGAGGGGGTGGTCCGGGTGTCAACAACCTTAGCTACGCCTCTGAAGAAATGACAATGATGACGTTGTTATCAATTCAAAAAAATCTGTAAGCCAATAATACACGCATGTGCGTTGGCATCACTTTTAGTCTGGAATGCAGCGATTTGCCCATCCCTTCTCCCAGTGAGTTATCGACCCCCGCAAGAGACTGGCCGTCCTTTGTCACAACGTCAACACGGTAAGTTGGTGTTGTCAAAGTGATGAACTTGTATATTATTGTCTGTTTTTATTTTATGCTTTCCTACCGATGTCACAATTTAACTTTGTTTTGCGACCCTTCAGGCTTCACATTGCGGAGCGTAAATCTTTTTCCATAACTTTTTTTTTCAATGTTATCTTATAAAAAGTAAAACATCTTCTTATGACAAGTTAGAACATCACTTGATGATTTTTCCCAGTGACAAGCTGTCACCCAAAATTGATCCTTCTTACAGCGGCGTCACGATGAGGTTATGACGGTGGGTAAGTGAGGTGGGGCGGGGGTGGTTTGTGCAGACCAGAGGCGTAGTTAGAGTGTTTGGCACCCCGTGGACAAGATTCATTTTAAAGCGCTCCCTTTTTTGGACCCTTAACCCATTATTTTTATCAATAATACTAATAATAATAATAGCAGAGATTATTTGAAAATCACGCTTCATCCCGCGAAGCGCGGTACACACCAAATTATAAAATGAGCAAAACAAAGTAGAGTTAAACCTGAAAAAAGGAACGCAACAAAACAAGGAACGTGTCGACAGACAGCCTTCGTCAGCGAACAAAACAACAGAAAAAAATGTGTAAAAATAAAAATAAATATAAAAAATAGCACTTAGCTTAGAATTAGTATCCGTGGGCAGCAAAAGACATCAGTCTCTTTGATGCATCTAACGTTAAAAAAGGTAAATAAAATAATATCAAAGCACATTTTGGCGCCCCTAACTAGCTGGCGCCCGAGGACATCTGCCCCTTGTGCCCTCCTTCAATACGCCTCTGGTGCTAACCGCCCATATGTACCACTCTGAGAATGTGTGACACCCGATGCACTAAAAAAATGTATTAACCTGTTATTATTGGTTCTTTCTTTTCATTCGTAAAAATTATAATAATAATAATAAATTACCTTTAAATTGGCAGTATCTTGAGTTTTTTTGTTGTTTTTTTTTGCTGTTTTTTTAATTACTTCACAAACATATCGATTTATTACATTAAATTTTTAAACCTTACCCGTTTGGTACGTTGGATTGAATTTCAGATGAGAAATAGCAAGAGTAACAAATTAAAATAATCATATGTTTTGTTTTTTTTAAATAATAGCCTACCTGTTTTCCTGAGCTATCTTATGTATATATATATATTAATATTGTAATCTAGAGTCTGAAGAAGAAATAAAATATTGACAGTCAAGTTTTTTTTAAAAAGCACACAAATCATAACGCTGAAACTATTTAATCGTACGAAACACAGAAGAAACATTGCAATGAATTTTAAGCAAAAATTTAAAGAATATGCTGTTACGTTACCTGCCAAAAAGAATTTGACATTTTTAGTCGAGAATGTGAAGAAGAAGAAGAGTCGAGAATGTAAAGAAAAGGAATGAATATGAGTAATGGGTATATTTTAAATAAAGTACATGTAAATGTATAGGTTGATGAATCTACCCTCAACTCTGTAAAAAAAGAAAGTAATGCGAATTAAGCCTACACGGAAAAGGACAATTTAGTTTTCTCTCTCGCACCAAAAGCTCAACTGATAAATAATTTATTTCGGCGATTCGTATAAAAGTAGAAGATTGTAACGTAAATGTGGGTGGTACTTCAAAGTAATGTATGGAGGCTACACTGGTGTGTCGCAAACTGTCCACGTGTTCAAAGCCATCACAGGTACTGATGATTTTACACGAAAGATATGAGCTGAAAGCAGTGTCGGAAGAAGTGGTGGGGGCCAAGAGAGGGTTCAGCCCGGGGGGGGGGGCACTTTTTTCTTTACTATGGGGGGGTGGCATTTCCGTTCCGACCAACTGCAGAATTTTTTTTGTTTTTTTTTTTTTTTGTGGAAGTGGTGACAAAAATAGTGTCCGCCCCGTGTAGCAATAACTCTAGCTACGTGATTGGCTGCAATAATATTGCCGAAGCCATCCATGTGAGGCCTGCAGAAATGGGCTTGTATGCATAAGATATATTTTTTTTTAAACTTAAAATAAATTAACAATATGGTACAGTAGGGCCTATTTATGTCAGAGTTTACAGTTTAAAGGTATATCTCTTTATGTGTGTAACGTGCGAGGTCGTTTTATTTTTTTTTAATTCCCTTAGCCGTTTTACAGAAGTTTAAAGACTTGTTTAGTGTGTGGGTGCTTCGTTTACCTAACTGATATTTTTAATGAGGTCTGTTTATGCACTTCAAATATCAAAATAATCTCGCACCCATCGGTCTCTTTGCACTGCATTTAATTCCCGTTTCGATGGATTAGCCGTACTGCCATCTCAGCCCGAAATAAAACCAAAGTGTGAAGAGATCATGTGATCAATGCTATTATTAGCGATGCGATCTGTGGACTAAACTGCTTTGCAGGCCGGGTGTGCACTTAAGACACCCCCACCCCCAGCCATCTCAAGGCATCCATTCTTTCCCGTGCAAACCACTAATCACAGTTCTAATAATGTTTGTCATTTGAGACTGGGATGGTCTTGCACTAGGCTGACCGCCACGACAACATATAATTAAAGGTAATAATTTATAAAAAATCAATATTCAAACATGTCTAATGTATCTCACAGGTATTCAGACAAGACATCATTCTATCAAAATATCTATAGATTAGATTATTCTCCTAACACCACCTCTCTCTCTCTCTCTCTCTCTCTCTCTCTCTCTCTCTCTCTCTATCTATCTATCTATCTATCTATCTATCTATCTATCTATCTATCTATCTATCTATCTATCTATCTATCTATCTATCTATCTATCTATCTATCTATCTATCTATCTATCTATCTATCTATCTATCTATCTATCTATATATCTATCTATCTATCTATCTATCTATCTATCTATCTATCTATCTATCTATCTATCTATCTATCTATCTATCTATCTCTCTATCTCTCTATCTCTCTATCTATCTATCTATCTATCTATCTCTCTATCTCTCTATCTATCTATCTCTCTATCTCTCTATCTATCTATCTCTCTATCTATCTCTCTCTCTCTCTCTCTCTCTCTCTCTCTCGCATATAAGCCGAATTTAGAAATATAAAATACAATACTGAAATCAAGGGGTCGGCTTATATGCGCATAAAACAAAATGGACACAAGGACAGACAGTAATGCCAATTTTCAAACCCCCCATTTTCATCACTATATGACTCTTTATTTCGTTGTGTGTACAGTGTACTATTATTTATATTATATATATACAGAGGTGTCACTTCAAAGAATCCATCCATCCATTCATCCATCCATCCATTCATCCATCCATCCATCGATCGATCACTGTTTTTGTTTCGCTGAACAAAAACGCTACTGACAGTATTTGAAACCAAACCAACAAACTAACAGGTATTGGACTTTCTGCCCCTGTTTTAACGTCGTGTGTTTTAACCCGAAGGATCTCCCCCCCCCCCCCCTTTGCTGGACTACGAGACTACCCTTTAAAAAAAGAAAAACTTTTGAAAAAAACACCCCAATGCGGTGGGGTTTAAAAAAATTTTTTTTTTTTAAATTCTATTTTATTTTTTTTTTCAATTTCAATATTGATTTGCGGTGTAATCAAGTTTCCAACGACAGATAACTCAGCTAATGAAGCTCTTCCTTTAAAGAGATTGTGCTGTCGGTTGAATGNCCCCCTTTTTTATTTTTTTTTTTTTTTTTTTTTTTTGTTGTTTAATTTTAACGGTTTTAAAATATTTTTAACGTTTTTTGACTTAAAAAAAAAAAATTATGCAAACACATTGAGTGCATGTCAATGGCATATGATCTGTTCAAGATCGGCTTGACAACGACTTCAGCAAAGATGCAGGTTTTAAACCTTTTTAAAAAAAAATCGTGAGCTTTTGAAAGTGATTCTTTAGAAAAATGGAGCTGCTGCTGTTTAAACTCATTCTCCGCCACGAAGGCTGCTCAAACAGTTACAGACGAGGTAACTGTGGAGCACGCACAGACAGAGACTAATCAAGAATGTGGCGAGACAGAAGGGGGGCGGGGCGGGCGGACTAAAATTCAGAGAGCAGGACAAATAGTATTATATTCCATGGCCAGGGTTTGTGCTAAACAGGTTTGGGGAAAAAAAAAGGGGGGGGGGGGGGGAGATTCGCAAATCCCGGTATCACGAAAAAAAAAGGGGGGGGGGGAGGGAGATTCGCAAATCCCGTTAACACGAAAAAAAAACTTGGACGCCGCCCCTCAATTTAAAGAAAAAAGTGCAGCCCAGGGTGGATCCCCACCTCCCCCCCCCCACCCAATTTTTTTTTCAGCCCTTTCCTTTAAAAGCGTTGTTGCTGATATCAGCAAAGGTTAGATAACCTGATATGCACTGAATGAGATACAAAGCCGCACAGTAATATTCTTCCTCTGCTATTTTTGAAGAGTGTATGA